TTTCTGTTTCCTTTTATTCATTCACTCTAAAATGGTGTGTAAAATTATGGTTTCATCTCTCAAATCTTTCCTGAAGACACTTTTTTGTTTATGATGTTGGCTAAGTCTGTGCACATTCTAGATGATGTCTGTAACATTAAAATTACATAACTTATAAAGCAAGGTATTAAAAACTAGCAAACTGAGGAACTTGAAGTGTCTAGCTGCATTTACAGACACAAAATTTCCTTCCTCTTGCTTCTTTTTTTAGGTTCTCTTCATGGTTTTATCAATTTAGCTTGTTTTGACTAGCTTGGAAATTCTCAAAGGATGTTTTTAATCCTATGTTTGGATAACAATTAATATCAAAAGAATTCAGTCATGTTTCACATCCTCCAGCAAAAGCACTAAAATACAGGCTTATTCCTCACAAAACCAAAATTTCGTCTATAGATTTACAGAAGGATTTTATAAAAAACACTACCTTCTTTATCCATTTAACCAACTCATACATGGTCCAAATCCCCACCATAGAAGCTGACAGATCAAGAATACTGCAATATCACATATTAAAATACCTAAAGCCAAGGAAAATAATAACTGTAATTAATTTTTTCCTAGTACGGCAGAATTAACAGCATCATTTGTACTTAAGACTGAGATCACAGTATTTTTGCTCTAGACTTCCAAAGTTCCCAAAGATTCAGGATTGAAATGTCACATGAATGATTCTGAACTGTTCAGCTGTTAGGCACAGTAATAGAATTTATGTATGGATAGCATTTTAAATATTCAACAATTTAAGACCATGCCTCAATGGCAACATGGCAGAACTTTCTGTTCTAATTCCAGGAAATCACTTCCCTATTACCAACCTTTGAAGTAGTGAATGGTGAACTACAGATTTCATAATATTTTTCATAATACTTTGTAATACTTTTCAGCAGAGAAATGCGTTGTAAGGTATTGTAAGGTATTTTATTTACCGGTGAAAGGTAGTAACTATTAAACTGCACCTGAGACTATCCAGTTGTTCTGAACAGAAGAAACTAATACATTCAGTTGAAACTGAAAAGAATTAAGGTGGCAGATGGTAATTACTAATACTGGAAGTAAGACTGGGTAAATGTGGTTAGAACTTCAGTTTAATGCCTCATCTATGAGGTGTTGCATTCATGACATAAAACTCTTTCGCGTTTGTATGGGAATGTGGCTCATTATGGACATATTAGAGGAAAAAATAACAACTTTTCTTGTACATTTCTATTCCAAGAAAAGACTTGATTAAGCCATGAGATAACAATAGACCAGAATGGCATGTGTATCACCAGATGAAAGGCCCTTTCCATATGCCTGTACAATGTCAGAGACAAAAGTCTGATTTCCATTTTATTATTTTTTCAGATTTTTACTGATGAAGTGATGGCTATTTACTTGACATTTTATTCCCCAGTATTAAGAACATGAGACACAAAAGTTGAATACATGAGTCTGCTCCTGAGTTTGTGAATGTGGAAAATAGAGAAAGAGAGACTGTAAGGTAAACAAATAAATTCAGTTTGAGATGTGAAGTTTTATAAGTCCTCTGCAACTTAAGAAACTCCAGCAACCCAAGCAAAATGACCCTTCTATATACTATTCCTGCCCTTTCATTAGAAACAACCAAGTGAAGGAGAATGAAGGCCAGTTGCACGTGCTATTTGACAACTTCAAAGCACTAACCACTACAATAATATATACAATACTCCACTTGCATATATTGGACATCAAAAAACACAGTTTTCAAAGTGGTTATGTAAATAAAACCACTAGATTCTGCAATCACGCTCTCTGTTATCTGTTATAATATTTAAAACTTTCCCAGTAATAAACTTGGCCTGTTTTTAAATAATGAAAGGTGTCACAAAAAAAATACTGGTATTGCTTTTAATATTACTGCCCATGCATTATACTCATGTCTGCAGATTAAAAATACAGAGTTGCTAAAAGACACTGAAAGAAAATAATCTATTCACAAATATGATATTTCTCTGCACTAATCATAAAGATGCCAAAACATTTTATTTGTATATTCCTTTTATATAAAAGTATTGATCTAAATGTTGTAGTCATAGCAGCATGATTGGATGGCCAGGACAAGTTACAAGTCTGAAGTAAAAAAGAAAGGATTGTTACTATTCTCTAAACTTTGCTCTGTCTTGTTGCCCATTTCACAAAGTCATTCTCATACTAGTAGGATGTAATTGTTCTGAACTGTAATATTTAGTCCACCCACCAAGTCTGAGACCAGTGTCACTATAAAACCACCTTTAAAGGAGCGTTCCCAGAATCCCAAATTGTGGTAGATATTAAACAGCTTTACCAAGTTTTCACTTTTTAAATGAAAATCACTTTTCTGTGTACTGAAGACTGTTTGTTTAGAATGGTTATAAAAACTGTAAAATTATGTGCAACTGAGTGGGAAATGATCCCATAAGTGTAGGATGTTTAATTATCTATCAAGAGGAAATTACACTGGTTTTCTTTTTCCCTTTATGCAAAGGTTTGTTTAACCACTTCAAACCCTGAGCCATCTACTATTTCTGTGATTTTCAGGTTTACTTTATTAAAGGTGTTTTTAGCTCTTCCTCTAAAACTCTTCAAATCCTTACTGCTTCTATGATTTACCCCACTATATAGTTAACACATTCTTCCCAAGAGTGCTTTTTGACCTGAGACAACTAAGTCAAATTTCAATGTTCTAGGCATTAGGCCCAATGTCTTAGGCAGTTTCCTGCTTGTTTCTCTGAATCTGGAATGGAAAATTAGAGATGTTTTTCAGTAATAAAGCAATTATTCTGGAAAGAAACTTGTCCAAAAGTACAGACTACATATATATTTGCAGAGTTCACCATTATTCTTTTAACCTACCAGCCTTTAGGTTCTGATGTTATACTGTTACCAAAAAAAATCCCAAAACTTAATTTAAAAATTTACTTGCAGAACAAAAATATCCAGGTCCAAAAATTATAGTAATGAACTAACTTTACATGTTGGGAGCAGAACTTACAACTGACCCTAAGAATACTATTCCATACAATGTTCAGTGAAGGAGAATGTCTACGATGGGTAATTGCTATTAAGATTCGCATGCTTTTAAAGGACATCAGTTACAGCATTAACTTGCAAGCTCTTCAGAAAGCCATGAATTTTTCCAGCAAATTATAATTTAAATAGATCAGAGTAATATTGGGGAAGTTACACTCATAGCCACTAGATAAGAAAATACATCATCTTGTTTTTCAATACCACTCTTTACTGTTTATTGAAAGCAATACTGTTCCAGTAGGCCTTTCCTGATGGAGAAGTGACTCAACTGAAGAGATCACTTACAAAACAAGTGGTCTCAGACATTTTCAAAAGGTGAAAACATTCCTCCTATGTCCAGATATTTTCGAATATTACTTACTATTTTCATCAAGAGAAAATACGTACTGTAGCTAAGGCTTTGCTTCAGGTTCCTATCTCTATAATAAAAAGCATAAGGCAAGGAGCTACCACCTATCCATATGAAAAATTTACTGCAACATAAGCCCTGTCTCCATTTCTCTCCTTTTAAGCAAATATTTGAATACAATTATTCCAAGCTAGGGATTCCATAATTTTCACTGAAAAATTAAGCTGGATTTTAGAATACTTTTTACATGATAATTTTGATCAAGCAGTTAAACTTTTGGCCATGGATGAGTCAAGCAGTTCGGAGATATGGAGTCATATTACTGGCAGGGTAAAAAAATAATCTTTGAGCTAGTCTGTTTACTTTAACAGACATAATTATGAAATCAACTGTTACTCCACCACCTAATTCCTAAAGGAAGAGCTATATGGCCCAGGATCATTTTCCATCACGCAAGCAATGAAGGATATCAGTTCAAATTATGTCTCCTGCACATATGTGTTTTCCTGTACTTTTATTTCATTGTTGTCCTTGGCTCTTCCTCCACCATAAGATCATTCTTGCTATGTAGACTTTTAGTAAGAAAACACCAGAACTTTTTATGTTATCCTAGCCAAGAGTTACTCTACAAACTACACTCTAGGAAGCACTGAATATCCATGCTAAGAATTGTCCAGCATCAGAATCAGAAAATCTACTCAGCACAATCATCTCTGTTATTCCGAGAAACAAGAACTGTGAATTTTTCCTTACATTTCAGCCTGATGTGTGTCAAGATGTTGAGGTTTTTGATTGCTCTGCTGCATATTCTTTGCTTAAGAAACGCATCTGCTTACTACTGGTGGTAGTGAAAGGTCATGGACCCTAAGCCACAAGTTTCTGTTGTGTGTAGCATCCCTACACTGCTTGCACCAATTTGAATAAGCATGGTCTGTATTTAAAATGCTCTTACAAATATTGTTTGGCAACCGGTAAGTACTATATCCTTCGTTAAGAATTAATATCCACAAAATTATGATAGGTGTCAATACCTTATTCTTAAAGTACTTGTTGTATTCAACACAAGCACTATTATAGACGACTTCAAGCAAAAAGATTTGTGAAAAGGCATATGACCTTCTTCCCACTACAATGGCCATCTCCTAATTAAGCAATGCATCTGATAGTCATTAACAGGAATGAGATAATGAATCACTTTCTCTCTTCTTTGCTAATTTGCTGTAACCAAGCGGCTAATGGATGTCAGAGCTGAGTGATTGCACTGATTATAGTGATTTATAGTTGCAACAAAACAATTTAAAACCATTCTGATTATTCATGTTAAAGATGCTTTATGTTTTGTTTACTAAATGTTTTATGTTCCCCCTCATGCCCCTCTACACAGAATGAGACAGGTCTTCCTGGAAAACTTGAAAGTTCTAAGATTTTTTTTATTGTTTCAGAGTAAGGCATTTCATTTTGTTTATAAAAAAAAAGTTTACCCAGTAGAAATGAAAAGCCTTAGGGTGGAAAGAAAACTTCAGTGGTGCCTAGTTCAAAAGAAGAAGGAAATAAGAGGAAATAAGGCAAACTTCAAGCCACTTACCTTAGGGGTTCCAGTCCCTTCCTCATTCTCTGCAGACACATCAGTAGCCAGTATTTCTGCTTTGATGATATCCAGAGCCCTAAGAATCCAGCTGTGTTGCCGTTTGATTTGCTTCTGTAGTTCTTTCCACTGACTTGCAATCATCTGCAGCATGTCCTTCAGTCCTTCTCCACAACGAAGGAGTAAAAAGCAAAAGCTGTAAACTCAACAGCATCTTTAAATATTATCCTTTATTCAAGTAACAGGCAGGATATTTAAAATAATAAATGCAACAAGAATTTTAGTGTGTTTTCTCAGCAATAAATCCAAGCATTACCATTGGTCATACTGCAAAATGGTGCTAGAGGGTCAAACATTTCTTTTAGCCATCATGGTAAATTTTGATAATGCTTCAGCTGACAGTTTCAAGAGAAAAACTCCACATAAACTGTCATTCCCCTGGCAGTAGGGAACACTGGTAATCTCCCCCTCTAATATCTAGTCTTTATCTTGAAACATTTCGTAATCTTCCAAAGACATTTTTCTTGCCTCCAACTCCTTTAAATATTTTCTGTAGTTTACACATTACCGATTTTTTGTCTATGGTGACATGCACTACTCTTTTTTGCTATGGCTATCTTTTTAGAACTATACATAGAAGTCAGTAATTTCTTATAGCTTCCCTTTACACAGACCTGTCTGATCTGTGAAACAACAGAGGCACACATATAACATAATCAGAAAACAGTAGACCAAAGAATAACTTCAACCTGGATGAAGAGCATGCTAAGTGGGTCAAAATTAAGATGGCATTCCGTAGCAGTATATGCTGATTAAAACCCTATTATCAGACAAGTCACGCAAACATCTAAAAATATAGGAGGTGGTGAGGATAAAGGGAAATCAGTACATCTGTCTCCCTCCTCTACATTTAAGTCCTCTACAAAAAAAGACAAGCCTAACCAAAGGAAAAAGGTATTTTTAATTTTAATCTAGTGCTCATAAATATATTTAAATCAATGTAGGAATTAGTTTAAGTGGTAAAATAAAGCTTTACCAATGCAATTACCCATGCAGAGTATGTAAATACATATATATATATTTGAAATACTAATTCATTATCTTAAAGTTATTTCCATAACACCTATATCAAAGAATATGTCAGTGTGAAGTTTTCAGTGATGTGATTTCAATTGAAACTCAGCTGAACAGCAAGACCAAAATAAAATGAACAGACTATTTGCAGGCAGTATTTCATTTTATAAGTATCACTGCATTGTATGCAGTATATGAAACATTTATAAATCTTGAAGGTCAATCTGATAATGTAAATATTAATAATACATAAGGAAGTGAATATATGCAGTAATTTACAGCAATGCTTCTTCATTCTTTAAAAGTCTGGAGACATAAAGACTTGCAATATTTCAGAAGGATTTACCTGATTTGTGAGATACAATAAGCTCAAGAAGTTGGCGTCCTTCTTCTACCACTGCTTCTTTTAAAGCAGAGTGGCTATCTACATTCAACTTAAAACTCTGAAAAAAAAAAAAGAAAAAAAAAGAGAGAAAAAACCTCAGCATCAGACATTATAGAGGCAGTTATTGTAAAACACATGTACAAAATTACTTGTTGTTTTTTATCGAGAACCACATCCCTATTTACCCAATAGCCAAACTAATTTGTGATACTAAAAGCTATTGATACTTTGGATCTGGGCTCAAAATGTTTCCATCAGATCAGCAAAGTGCATCTTTGTTGAAATAGCTGACATATCTAGACATTCATTAGGTTTTATTAAAAGTCACAACCCGTAGGCTATATCTGGAGTAACTGTGTTCTATAAAATACACTAAATTTACACTACCACATATGAACTCTGGGGTTTTTTTTCATATTTCTTTGAAATGTTGGTGATAGCACTATTTATGGAACCATAAAAAAATTACAACATTGAATATATTGGCCTTATGTGCACTCACACAAATCTATTAATACTATGTTCCTGAGTTAACTCTCATATCCATTTTCAAAGACCAAATCAGTCTGCTTTAGATCTCAGCATTCTTAATTTGCAAAGAAAGTATTATTCAAACATTTTTTTCACTAATATTTTTATTAGTTTACAAAGGATCTCTGCTTTAACAGTCAAAAATATTTTGTCTCTTTTTTTAATTTTATTTTTAAAAATTGCTTTAAAATCTAGTAACAGAGAGAGGAACTGGAAACACAATATGCTATAAGTTATGCCATTTAATACACCAGTGATAACTTGGATAAATTTTTTAATTATTTGCCAGAGCTTCTCACCATACTTGCCTGTAAGAAAGAGAAAGAAAACACAATAGAGAAAAGGGTACTTGCTGTATTTAATCATAAATTGTGTGCAACACTTTTTCTCTTTGAAATGTCTATGGAATAAATGGAAATAATATATGACCACTTGGAAAAAAAGAGCTTTTCCATCTCTTGGAAATGAGTTAACTGGCAGACATGAAAGGAGACTTTGCAAATGCACATTCATAGCTTCTGTTTTTTATAAGAATTATTTATACTTCTCCAAATGCTAGTGACCATGCTAATACTGGAGTAGCAGACACCACAAAATACTCAAAAGCTGTCAATCCTTAGGGAAGCAACCATTTCCTCTCTTTCCAAACTCCTGCAGTCAGGCTGATTGGTATAGCAGAAAATAATATTGCCAGAACTGTAATAAAATGAGGTACTTTTACTGTATTCGTCATGGTTGAAAGAGGGATGTTGCTCAGACAGGCTCTTAACAGTCTTTCAGGCAGCATTGTACCTGACAGTGACAGAATGTTTTTGAGAATTCAAATAAAGAGCAAAAAACAGGAATTTTGCTACCTTCAGCATTTTGTCTAGTCCAATTTTCCTTGTATGGACATCTGAATATACTGGTTTGCACCAGCTGTTGAACAACTGGGCCAGCCAAGAAAAGTTAAAAGGGAATAAGGATGCCTAGTTTATGTCTGTCCCTTTCTTAAATCTAGAGTTTTATGAACCCAAATCTAGAAGTCCTTTTTCTTTATAAAACCACGTCTGAACAAGCACTGACAATATTTAATTTACTGTTTACTTAAAACAGGCTTGTACTGAATAGTTTGTAATCATGCACTTCACAGGAAATGCACTGTGCGTGTGTCTCACCCAGCAAAAGAGAAGCTAAAGGACCTGAGAGTAGGTTGTGTAATTTCATATAATTGAAGTCGAGTATAGATGCAGCTGGATTTGGCAGTGTCTCGAGATGATGTGGATGTGTTTGATAGGAAAATTGGAAAAGATGAGGTATTCTTTTTCATTAGGAAAAAAAAAGAGACTTGCTGCCCTAGAAAAGATTCATTTAACATAACGCACCAGCTACTACAATACAGCTTGATTTTCAGGTGCACCTATTAACCAGTAATAATGTTAAACTAAAGAAGCAAAATACGATGAATAAAGATGGGGCCAAACTTTTGGGTTTTGACTAGCAATATTCTCCTTGTGCAAAATTCTTATTTTATGGATAAATTATGCATGGCACAAATACCATGAACATACATGAAATTTAGCAGAAATAAGCTTTTGTCAACATAGAGGCATCATGTCATGGTTTAACCCCAGCTAGCAACTAAGCACCATGCAGCCTCTTGCTTAGTCCTACCTCAGTGGAATGGGGGAGAGAATCAGAAGGGTAAAAGCTAGAAGATGTGCGGGTTGAGATAAAGACAGTAGGGAAAGCAAAAGCCACATGCACAAACAAAGCAAAATGAAGAATTCATTCACCACTTCCCATGAGCAGGCAGGTGTTCAGCCATCATCTGAAAAGTAGGGCTCCATTGCACATAACAGTTACTTTGGAAGACAAACGCTGTAACTCCAAGAATCCCCTATCTTATTCCTTCTTCCCCCAACTTTCTATACTGAGCATGATGTCATTTGGTATGGAATATCCCTTTGGTCGGCTGGGGTCAGCTTTCCTAGCTATGTCCCTTTCCAGCTTCTTGTGCACCCCCAGCCTACTTGCTGGTGGGGTGGTACAAAGAGCAGAAAAAGCCTTGATGCTGTGTAAGCACTGCTCAGCAGTAACTAAAACATCCCTGTATTATCAACACTGTTTTCAGCACAATTGCAAAACATAGCCCCATACTAGCTACTATGAAGAAAACTAACTCTCTCCCAGCCAAAACCAGCACACATTAAAAGGAGAGAACCATTCATATAAGTATAAATACAAACAGAAGCAAACGAAACTGTCAGTTGATGAAGTATGAGTTTTGAATATAGAATTATATATGTATATATATTTTTCTTACTGGTGGTAATTTCCTAATAAAAATGAATAACTAGACAAGGAACACTGGAAGGAATAGTCCTCAACCAGTGTTCAAGGTTTCTCATGCCTAAAGGGCTGAAAATGTGACACAGGTAAAAGACGAGAGTTGAAGATGTAACAAGTATTACATGCCTATACAATGGAGATATGCAAATTTACACAGCTAAGGATAATATCAGACCAAATATTTGGAATTGAGGAAGACCTTCAAACACAGAGGTCCTCTCCCATCCTGGATATTTCCCTACTGTTTACTTATGGCATTTGGAAAATTGTAACTCTAACAGCGTGTGACCCAGGTACTCTGCTCCCCTCCTTCTCTGATCTTCCCTGATAATGAATGAAGCCTTTGTG